AATCTTATGGGAGGAAAGGGAGGTTTTGTAAGTTGAAGGATACTAATTTGGAAACTGGAAAATGCTTTTCCTGTTATTTAACTTGCAGAATTTGTCAGAGGTGGTGCTGCAGGGACCAAAAGAATGGAGGTGTTGAAAAAGGCTGCAGAGAGAACATCATCCCTTTGTTAAACAGAGTGTTGAGGATACTGACTTTTTGTGCCTTTGGAAACTAGTCTTTTGGAAGAATCTTCCCTGTGAGCAGATAGCTCAGTGGCAAGAGATTACTGGCTTTCCTTCACTGGTCTTTTAACATACGTGATAACAGACAATGTGAGGAGCAACTTATGGTCATGGTGACTTGCCTTCTGCCCTGGTAGTTGACAGGACTCTTTTATTTTGGGGTAGGTGTGTTTTAAAAAAAACAAACTCTTAAGTCTTAAACACTTGACTATAGTTTTTTCACAATGTGAGAGCAGAAGCTGTCAGTCCTGTCCAGGGTCTGCCTTAGCTGCCTTCATGGTCCACAGCTTCAAGACATCTCTTTAGGTGTCCTTTTCGTAAGAACTAGCTGAGTCTGGAGAATGTCTTGTGCAGAGATGCAATTTTATGTAAAAACTTCATCAGAGTCCTAGGCGAACTCCTTTGTTGGAAGTGATCTGCACCTCTCATCTTAGGCAGATGTCTGCTTCTTGGTCTCGTTACAGCGTTGCCTCCTTGCTTAAATATCTTTCTACTGTCATAGCTTCATCATATGTAGATATTTATAGAGTATAGTGACATTGCCTCTGATCTCTTCTTGGACGGCTGTCTCTGGTTGTGGTGGCACTTGAGCTCAGGAGAGTGCCTTGCCACCTGGCCTTTCTGGCTAGAAACCATTCCTGATCTTGTACCTCTTGCTTTGCACATAATATCAAATGAAGGTGAAAGATCTGTTACTATAATAATAAAGTGAGCTGAAAACTCAGGAGTGCTTAGTTCATGAAAAGCACGTTTAGGTTTCTTAGTTCAGAGGAGTTCCCTGTTCAGCAGTTGGGCAGCTGTAACTTCTTATGGGACCTTGCTTTTGGTAACAAGTGGTGTAAATCCCTGATAAGAAACCAGTTGTGGCATCTGAGGGAGTTCAGTGCATTTGTCTTGTCAGATGGAAGTGTGACAAAGGAGAGATGTCCAGTACCCACTGCAAAGGCAAAAGCAGAGTCATCAATGGATTCGTCTCCAGTCCGTAGGATCTCTAGGATAGAGGCATCTTTTTCCTATTGGTGTAATTGTCTGCATAGTGATGCCTTGTTTAGGTGGGGCTCCTTGGCAGTTGTGCAGTGAATAATAATCCCAAGCTGCGTTTTTCAGCCCCCTTTCTAAAGCCTCCTGTCCGTATCTCCTAGAAAGTCAAGTGGAGCTGAGTGTGTAGGGTGATGAGCCAATAACCTAGGCTGGAAGATCGAGATGTGGAGCTGGACAAACCATGCTCTTCAGGACCACTGTTAAAATACAGAGTATATCACATATGTGAACTTTGCTCTTCTCTGGAAACCTCATAAATGGAGACATTTCCCAGGCCTGGGATCCCATCTGATTGTGTGGAGGGGAGGACGTGGTCTCCTCTGAACATGGCCCCTCTTGTGCCACTGCAGAGGCAGTTTCCAGGAGGTGGAATTAAAACCTGCTCTATCCTCTCTCTGTTTCAGCGAGGGGAGGAAGGTCTTGGGTGAATGAGGCTGTTATCTCACACCAGCTCAGTCTCATACTTCACAGCATGGCCTGGTCCAAGAAGAGGAAGGCAGAAGAGCTGTTACAAACAACTATATTTTCACCTTGTTTCTTTTCTAACTCACAGCCACAAAATCTACGCACAGCTTTCCTGGGCATCTCATTGTCCAATATTTGCTTTGCTTTCTTTTGTCCTTTCTTGTTCCTTGATGTCTTTCAGCTGGCTACCAGTTTAATTTGGACTATAAAGACAGCGATAATTCAGAGTTAAAATATACAAATCTGAGCCAGCTTCAGTGTTACAGAGGCTGATACTGGAACATGTAACTTAATTTATTGTTTTTCACCTTCTCTGCTAATGAAATCTAGCTCTAAATTGTTATATGCAAGTCCGTGTTCGTCTCAGCTCAATGTAAATTACCTGCAGAAAAAACCGCCGTATTTCTCCAGCTCTGACATTGATTTGTTCCATGACCTTGACAAGCAAAGACTCAATATATCCGTTTTCCAGTCTGTAAAATAACAGTGTGTCTTGTACAGCTCCATAGAGCTCACAGCTGCTTTATCACAGGATTGCTGATAATTACTGGCATGGTATATGAAACACAAACACACTAGTTCTGTGTATGCATGAAGTGCTTGATAAGAAGTGGGACACATGGCAGGAAAGAAGCCTTAACTGTAACCATATGTACATGAAAGCTTCATTGTTGGCTTTTAGATGTTGGAAATGGTTTGCTACTGACAGCTGAGAAGACATTTGGAGTGGCTTGTATTTGTATCAAGTAGTATTAATCTTGGAGGCAGAGAAGTTCATATGAAACCTTATACTTGGAAGTCTGCATGTGCAAAACATGCCCAATAATGTCACGGGTCAGAGTGCCAGCAGCAGGGAGGGTCGGTAGGGGATTGCCGGGGCCATCCCTCTGTCCTGCTCCCGGGGTGGAAGGGCTGCCCGCTTCTTGGTGGGCTCTTCTGAGGAGCTTTTGTGCAATACTGTTTCCATCAAAATGTAACTTGGAGGTCTCAGCTTTGCTGTCATTGACACATTTCCCTATTTACTTCCTGTACTAGACAGCTCATGTGGCTCAGTTTTCATGCTGTGAAAGAGCACTGAAATACATTAATGGCTGTTCCAGCTTAAACAGGTCTAGTCCATATACTTGTACCTGTGAGGATGGAGCCACTGTGAACCCTATTTCAGGGTCTTCTGAGCTCTTGTCCACTTCCATATGAGGACATGAGCTGAAAGGAGAAAGATTTCTTTATCTTGGGAAGAAGAAATACAGAAAGAGGAGAATTTCATGCAGTGATTGCATGAGAGGGCTTAGAAAAGGTGCTGGATACAAAATCTGTGTTTTTCAAGCAGTTAACTTTTCAGTGCCAGTCGGGTGATGTACTAACCTAGGCCATCAACTTGAGTAATACTTTTAGTGATTAAAAGAAGTGAGTAGTGTTGACTGTTCTGCCTGCTGCCCTTGCAGCAAGACTGAACTTTGGCAAGTGCATGAAAAATGGGGAAGACTGCCTTCACTTCGAAAGAAAATTATGAGTAGTTGAAGGGCTAAAACCTCTCAAAGGACAATAAATGTCCGAAGGAGTTTGAAAGCCTCTGATAAAACATAATTTCAAGAAGAATTGAGGTTGGTAGAAGGTACATAGTAGAGCAGTATAATTCGCATGGTCCAATGCAATAGTTGTTAATAACCAAACCTATATTTTCAGGGCTTTGAGCTTTTAACAAGCTGTGCTTCACTTAATAGATGTGAGATGCCTGAGGAAGCTTCCTTCTTGCTGATGCCGAACGTGCCTGGAGCAGACCTCTCTGACCTCCTTTTCTCCAGTAGAGAAACTAGTACCTTTGGACCTCGATTCACCTGCTTTAGATATGTTCCTCGGGATAAGCGTTTGCCTTCATCCAGTAACCATAACAGCCCCAGGCTTGCTCGGGGGAGACACATCTGCTGCTGATGCTGTGTTTCATTAGCAGAATCCTGTGCTATGTGCACTAACAAGTCCCTGGGGAGCTGAGGACACAGACAGCCCAGTCCCAGAGAGTATCAGACTCGGCACGCTGGGGCATCTGTCGTGCCTCGCTCAGGAGTCCCACGTTTCTGAGTGGGGAGATTTGGTTCAGCATCTGATGTAGTTATGCCGCTGCAGCTCTGTGTGGGTATGCTGTGAATGTAGTTAAAATGAAGTGAAATGCCAGCTGCCTGCAGGCAGGGCTGTTCTGGCTGAAGCATTCAGAATTTGATCTTGCTCTCTCTGGGCTTAAATCTCTAGTCTGAAAAGCAAATTTTACTTGGTTCCTTAGCATACTGAGGTTAAACTTCAGTTAATACGTGGATCTTTGTGGTGATGGCCTTTTTCTTTTGATGATATCAAGGGTCCTCAAGAGACCCGCAGTCCGGTATTCAGCACCATGTTTCAGGATGTGCGGTGAATAAAGCCCAGGCTGTGTGCTCAACGCTGGAGATTAAAAAAAGTGCTGATGATGCTCACTGTTTGATCACATTCATGAGCACAGGGGGTTTGTGGCACAGGCACTGTTTGTTCTAGCTCTTGCTATTTGAGTGATTTTCTTTACGTCCAAGCCAAGACACCTTCCTGTTTGTCTTGCACAAGAAAGTGTGATTAAAACCACACTTCCGACTACACTAGCACTCTCCGGCAAGTGTTTTAGGATCTTCACTGCTGGCTTCTCAAGTGAAGCCCGGATCCTTAGTATTCCTGGAGGCTAAAAGGACGTTTTTCCCTTGCAATGGTACGCAAAATGTTTTTGGGTTCCCTTGCAGTTGAAAAGCTGGGAGGTAAGACATAATTCATATTTATGCCCACGAGTTGTTTCCAGCTGAGCAGAGCTGCCTGGGGGCAGCCCAGAGCACAGGGAGACAGTGCATCGGCGCTGCTGCCCCTGGGATCACCTGGGGTGGCTGGGCTTGGGAGGGCTGTGCGAGGAGGAAACTGGGCATCCCTGGGAGGTCAGGGCAGGGTGAGAGCAGCTGGAGGTGGAATTTGAGCTCTCTAAGCTGTTAGGATGTCTGGGAGTGGTGGGGACAAGGTGACGTGCTGGTCAGTAAGGCAGGTGACGCAAAGGCATGCCTTGGACTGCTGGAAAGGACATGGGGCTCAAAGGGATGCCCCAGGTGGTAGGGATTAGCTAGAGCGACAAAGTTCCTCTGTCTGACTTCTCCTATGGGCCAGCACAACACATGCAAGATGGATCAAGTGGCCGATCCTCAACCCATTATGGTTAGTGTTTGATTTTTCCATCTGGATAATGCGTGACCTGCGCATCCTCTGGCTGCATGAACAGCAGTTGGCACTGGGGAGGAATCGGGATTGTGCGGCTGGGGGTGGAGAGGGTGAAGGTGCTGCCAAGAGGGCAAGTGCCACCCATGTTTGTTGTGTTAAAGCTGCTCCTGAGCAGCTGTCTAAAACCTCTGCTGTCTTTGCTCTGCTGATCTGAAGGAGAGGAGCCAGGGAGCTCTTCAAAGTGCTGGGGTTTTTTCCCAATGAAAATGTGCAGTTGTCTGTGTAAAGTGTCAGGCCTTCAAGCTGAATTACTTTTTTCCTTATTATTGGCATGGATATTTTGCTTTCACAGGTGGAAGTGCTACATGGTTGGCAGGAACAGTTTTCAGAGACCCTCTATGGTCATTTTTAGGGCAAGACTTGAAGTCCTGCTGACTTCTGTGCAATTAGGACTTGCACAGAGCCTGGATGTGGTCTTTTGGGTAGGAGACCTGCGGAGGTGCACCTTGCTTGGTTCTGCATACTGTCTTCTGTAGCATCATCATAAAGTGCTGAAGTTTGGTTCAATGGTGGCCTTCAGTGCACAAGGCTGAGAACGTTTGATCTGTCTGCATGTACTGGGGTGGGAGTCTGACTTCTCACCTCCCAGAGGAGATGTCTACGCTGCAGTCACTTCTGAGGCTGTATGGTGAGGTTGTTGCGTAGGCACAACCGACATCTGTCTCAGTGTAGTTAAATCACTGAGGTTACGTGCTGTTGCCTAGCTGGTACCTAGTTAGTTTTAGGCTTTTGATTGCCGTGCGGGTGAGCTGAGTGTCTGAGGAACTGCTCCTGACTGCTGCGGGTCAATGCCAAGAGGTCATGTGGCCTGCGAGGGGCTGCTGCCACAAAATGGCAATGTGGCCTTTTGGCTAGAACATGAGTCTTTGAAGACGCTCCTTTGGGAAGGCTGGTGGCTGCTGGTAAGTAACTCATCTGCGTGTCCCTTGTGTAGGACTTGGGTGTTTGATTTTATTTGCTGAGTTGATTAATGTTATAACATGTTCCTGCAAAGAAAGCAAACCCTGTAAATTCTTGTGAAGTCTACTTTTATTTTATTTTAACTTTTTGTGAGACCTAAGTGATTTGGTTGGCAAGCTGGAAAGCAATGTGTGGTGACCGGAGAGTTTTCAGGTTCTCCGGAGAGCTGTCCTTGGAAGCACAGAGGGTGACCAGCACAAGTCACCTGCTTGCCAGCAGAGAAGTGACTTACAGTGGTCTCTACTCCTGCCTGCCGTTTAATCAAACATCTGAGGTGGAGCTGCCTGCTTTGAGCACAATGCTGTGGATGGTGCATGGGAGGCTCAGGTGCTGCTTTTTGGAAACCTACTTGTATAAATGACCTTCCACTTACTGTCTGCGGTTAACGACCATTTCATTTTTACAGCCTTTGATTTCGATTGTCAATGTGGCTTGCTCATCCTGGCAGTCAACCAGAGTAAGGCAGCTGTACCTTCTTTTAATAGGAACTCTGACCTGTGCAAAACGACTCATCATTAATACGTCTCTGTAACGGTTTGTTTATTTCAGCTCCTTTCCATGCTTCTCTCTCTAATGGTTTTTATGCTGTTTTTTGCTTAGCTTATCAAGCAGCAGATTCTCTCCCTCCAGTTTAGGAAGGTAAAACTATGTTTCATTAAACAGCTCTGACTAAACACTTTGCTGAATCTGACTGCACGTAATTAATCTGTAGTGCTTTGGTACTAATTAATTAGTAGAGAGCCCTGAAGTGATCTAACAGCCATATTCTGCATGATTGGATCCCTAATACTTGCTTGAACTGCAGACAGTAAAGTGAATGTTCATGGTAATTTCTGTTAAGGTGCAAGAAATATTCCTCTTTCTTAGCCAGACAATGGGTGTTCAGATACTTCTTAGTATTAAAGTGAGACTTCCATACAGAGACATTACAAATTAGATGTGCCTGCCCTGAGACTTTCAGAGAAGAAATTTTCTTCTCCCCCTGCCATCCTGTGCTTTATTGGGAAGATCTGCATTCATTCGGACTCTGCCCTGGAATGCACTTGTATGACTGTACTTTGCCTCTGGCAAAATAACACATTTAGAAGTCAGTTTGCATTACTGGTTTGCTGCAGAAGCAGGTAAAGGAATGACCGTGGAAGGAAAGGCCTCTCGAGAACACTCCTATAGCTGTGGGATTGCTAACCGAAAAATCAGGAAAAGAAAGTCATGATGAAGAGGAATACACTTCTCAAATCTCCTTTACCTGCAGACTGCTTTTGTATGGAAATCCCTCTTTAATGTAAAAAGGCTACTGAATTGCTGGTGTTCTCTTCCTATGCTCCTGGGCTTTTTCTGCAACAGAAACGCAGTTTCAGGAAGGCCAGGAGGAAGAGCGACTGCCGCCTTGTATCAGATTTCTCAAACGCTCTGATTACTGTTTAGAAAGCAATTTGAATTGGACAAGTCTCCTTGCAGCTGGAATGAGTCAGCTGAGAGCTCCGCAGTTCTGCAGTCTCTAAACCCCCCCTGTGACTAACAGAATTGTTTCTTTGAAAGATTAAATAGACCTTCCAGGGCTTCCTGCCAGGTGTATGTTGGGCGAGTGTCCTCTGATTCGTCTGCCATGCCCGTGGAGTCCCCAGCTTCTGGTGAGGCTGTGTTCCTACACCGTTCAGTAGCCTTTGCTGTATTTCACCTGACTCTGGGATTTGCACTGAATGGACCAGACTTATTCCTGGTGCTGCCTGCTGACACCAGTGGCATGGTACTGGGATTAAACTTGGTCCTGAGTGTCACTATGTGTGTGCGCATCACTTTTTTTAAGATGCTGATCCAGTTGCTCTCCTGCTGGAGTATGAAATATTCGTTGATGCTTGGGAAGTTCCTTATGTGGATCTAAAAGGCATTTACTGGTCTAGGGCTGGGGGTCTGCATTGAAAGGGCCATCAAAACCTCACCAGTGACTGCCTTGGTACTGGATTGTCTGCCTTGCTCTTTGGGAATGGGAAGTTTTTCTCCTGGATTTGGAGTATGGAAAGGTTTGAAACATCTCTTGGCTCCTACAGCCCTTTCCTGGCCCTGTAGCTGTGTGAAGAGTTGCTTGCCAGTACCAGACTCTTGGGGACCATTGATTTCCACAGAAAAGAGTCTGAGCTGTGGAATCTGATTTTCACCCCATCCTACACGTGGTTTTGGAAATAGGCAGTGCTACTTGTTCAGTAGATAAGACGAGTTTGCAACAGCCCTAGCTGTCTTTGTGCTGTACCTTTACCCAGCACAAAGTGCCTGGGAGCTGGCTGAGGCTCCGCTGCATCCCAGTTGTTTGTTGCTCAGGGGTTCATCTCCCTGCATCTCTTACAAACCCATTCTAGCAGGAAGCCAGAGTGAAAATCATAGCACCGCAGCCTCCAGGTAGGTTTTCTGGGTGGATGAAATGGGCAGTTGCTGTGGCTGGAGCTATCCTGGCACCTTCAGCCATGCGTGCAGTGCAGTCGCTGCTGCAGAGCCCGTCAGTTCACCTGACTTTGCTTGGTTCATACTAAATGTGGGGATTTTTTTTTTAAATTTTTCCTGAACAAGTCTGCTTCCTCAGCAGGTAGAGCATGAGTAGCAGCAGCACCAGCATCCTGCCTGCAAGCCGGGGGCTGCTTGTGAGACCAGGGTCCTCCTTGTGGAGCCCTCACCACGTGCTATGAGCCCTTCTGCTCATGGTGGAGCTGTGTCAGGAATGGTTTGGGGGTTTGTTCCACCTCTTGCATGTCTCTAGAAGCTGATCACTTGTTTAAGGAATGTCTTTCACTGCTGAAAATGATAAAATGGAAGCTGCCAGCTACTGGTTTTCTTGCAATATTTGCTGTTTCTCCTAAGGTCCTTGCACTTGAGACCTTGGAGTCCTGTCTCCTGGAGTAAACGCGTAGTGTTCTAATTGCAGAGGGAAAAATGAAAGAAGCAGCTCTTCACTTCCAAGAGCCGCAGAGCACTCTCCAAATGAAGACCCAACTTGGAATTAAATCATCTTCCTTTATTTAAGAAAGCTCTGATCTTCTGGGGCCTCTCTTGGTGATGTTCCAACAGGGCTGGCAGTGCTGTATGAGTACGCTGGTTTATTGCTATCACTGAATAGTGCTTAAATGACTGGAGAATCTAAGGTCCATTTTTGAGCTTCATAGTTTGCACTGTTTGGATAGTTCTGGCTATTTGGGTGTCCCAGCCTGAACTTCGAGGTCACTGCTTTAACTGATGGAGTATGTAGTGTGAGTGCCTGCCTGCAGCAGTGAGAGGTTAAACAGGGAGCGGATGTCAGCTTCACATATAATTCCTGAGCACAGAAATCTGAAAGCCAGGGTCAAGATCTCCTTCAGTGAGCTGTTCCCCCAGCAGTCACCTTTTCTTAATTCAAAGCTTACAAAGGGGGCAGTTGCTTGTGGAAGGCACATTCAGTTCACACTTGGCCTGAAGTTACAATGTGAAGTCTTCATAAATAAAGTCAAATCCCAGTGAACAGAGCAACACTTGAAACACTGATGGTGCAGTACCAGGAATGTGAAGCTGGCTTTGTTAGGGTCTTGCTTTGAGCCTGCTGGCCGATCAAATGAATGTTCTGGTGTAATCAGGAATTAAAATGGTTCTTGACATTCATTACCCTGATAACCATAAGGACTGAGACAAAGGGAACGTCTCCCAAATGACACTTTAAAGTGGCAGAATCATTTTAGGAGTTAAAAAGAGTCAAATACCTTGACACTGGACTGGATTTGTGAGCAACCTAGTGTAGGGATGATGGGAGGGAAGGAGGGCATTTACAAGAACACAGCCTTCTGAGATGAGATAGGAAGGAGACCCTTTGATTTTTTTAGTACTTTGATCTCTAAGAAATGCTTCTTGAATCTTCCAGGAGCACCTTCTGCGCAATCATTTCTCAGCTGACGGAGGAAACCCAGCCACTATTTGAAACCACTATCAAATCCCGTTCTGTGTCCGAGGACTCTGATGCTAAATTCACGTGCATAGTGACAGGTAACAGTGTCTTTGGTGAATAACCTGGTCCTGCCTCACTTGCTGGACATGCGCTAGTTAAACTCTAGAGCAAGTGATAACAAGGCAGTACGTTAACAAGCCTGCTGTTGTCAGACTGCCAAGTAAAGATTCAGCAATTGCATGATGATTTCAGCTTTAATTTAAGCGGGGGGAAAATACCTGAGATTGTAAAGAGGCAAAGGCATAACCTAACATCTCAAACAAGGCAAATTAAAGACTAGATAATGGAATATACTGGCTACTGCTTGGGCCAGCTACATTTTATTGTCCTAATCTCTGCTAATCCTGGGCTTCATAACTCAGCAATGTGCAGTTTTGAAGACTAAGGCTATCGGAGCCAACTCTGGCTCTGTTTTGCTGGCTGTAAATGGTTAGAGTGCAGCTGTATTTGCATCAGTGATAAACTTCTGTGTTTGTCGACATCTGAAATAAAAGCCAGTTTCTGCCCAATGAGCTAAAATCCAACCTTGGGCAGGAAGGGATTAGGCCAGTAAGAGGAGAAGAGGGAGGCTGAAAGAGAGGGCGTTGTGGTGACATGGCATGGCAGTGCATTCGTGTAAAGGCAAGTGGCTTCTTTGCTAATGAGCTTTTGTCCTTTAAGTTTAGGGACTCTAAACCCTCTTTTTTCCATAGTATGTGCTTGTTTACAAGTCTGTGATCCTTCCTGATGTTGGACGTTATCTTTTCCAGCAGGTTACTCAGTGAGAGACATTAAACAAGTTTGTAAGTTTTGGAAGGAGGAGGCGAGCCTCTTAGTCACAGGGACCAAGACTTTCCTAAGATATAGGAAATCTAGTCTGCCATTAGAAACATGCTGTAAATAAGCTGTACAAAAGGAAACACAGACTGAGCCCTTCTGAGAGCTGCCGGCTTTGAATTCTTGGCTCTTCTCGTATGGATTCACTTGTTTCACAGGTCTGACGTTCTGAACTTGCAGGAGTAAAACTGATGCATTGATTTTATTGGTGCTTAACTTCAGCAGACCACTTCCTGCTTCTAGGGCAAAAGTGGGCTGCTAGGGAGATACCTCAAAGCCATGCTCCTCAGTGATTCATTAGAAGGGCTTTCCCAATTAAAGTTTTCTAAAAGAAAAAGCTGGACATATGGCTTGCAGAATGGTGAGTTCCACAATGAGTGTCAGAGGTCAAAAAATTAGTGATGTTCAGATATGCTAGGAAATCCTGAGTAAGAGCAGATACAATTCTCTCTTCCACCTCCCCTTGCTGGAAAGTGTAGAAGTGCTGCAGACCCATAGCATGACTGCTTACTGCGAGGACATAGGGTAGCACTGCTTTCCCTTTCAGGGTTTCTTGCACCTTTTCAAGTGCCTGTTCCTGGCTTCTCTCACTGTCTTAAGTCTTCCGCAGCTGCACCTTAAGGTTGACAGTTCCCTCTAACAAACTTCAATCAATCACCTACAAAATCCAAATGATACCGTCAGCTCCAACTGGGCTTTGTTGAGATGAGAGATGCACTTGTGCAGCTGGGCTTTACTTCTCTACTGGATGGCTGATGGGGTGGGAAGTGCTCTGAATGTGTGATGCCAACAAGCTCGGTTTCCTGAGCAGAGATAGTTCAGTCATCCCTACCAAGGAAGCCTGATAAATACCATGTCCACGTCCTTTCCAGCACCTCTCCTGGAAAAGCTAGAGAAACTCTTCACTGTATATTGGGCAGGAGGCATGCTGCCAAGTAATAACCTCCTCTGCTTATACCAAAATCAAAGTATCAAAGCCTAGAGACAGAAACACTCTCTGTCCAGTTTGTAGGCTTTCCTGTGGTCCTGCTCTTGGTAGGCAGGACACTGCCTTCCTGTTTTGGGTGGTCTGCTGGTGCTGTATAGCACAACGTGGTGTTTTACACCAAGTTGAAAACTTGACCTGATACTGGTCTCACTTTCTACTCAAGTGAAGGAAAGTGTCAAATGAACATCTCCAGCATGTAGCCTATTGCACTGTTTTTTTACCTGGTAAACTAGACCGGGGGATGTCGTTATGCATTTAAATTAGTAAACCCACAGAATTGGGAATTTTCATGGGAACATCCTTAAAAGCAGCCTGGACCACATATGCCATATGGTCAACTCTTGCTTGTGGTCCTGTGGACTGCTTTAGAGCTCGGGATCTCTGGGAGAGAGGGGCATAAGCTGGAAAGCAAACTCTGACTACAAAGTCTGATCAGTAGTTCAGGTATCTCCCCCTGTTGTGATGTTTACGTTCAACTGGGAGACATTATGGGGAGAAAGGAAGTGGTTGCATCCCTGGCCAGTAACCAGAGTGGAACCAGCTCAGTCCCACTGCTGTGGCTGGAGTCCAGGGACACTTTGGTTCATAGACTTGCAGAAGGCAAAGGGCAGACTGTCAGCTGCTCCTGTTTCAACTCTTGAGCCCCAAATATGGATGGATACATGATCTACAATAACATCTTAATATTGTTTTGCTGCTTCTTCACCCATAATGAGAGTTACAGGGTGGTCCCACATCTGTGAATACCAGCGACTTGCTGGACATGTCCTAGGAAGGCAGCAAGATGCAAGTGTTTGAAGAGCCAGTCTCCAAAATGTGCTGGCTGGTGCAGGCAAGAAAAAAACAAGTCAGGCAGAGGCAGGCTTCCTGATGCTCTTGGGTGGTAGCACAAACTCTCCTTTCTTCCTGTCGCCTAGTTCTGCTTGCTGCCGCTGTCCTTAGTATGTCTCATTTGATTGTTTTGGGTCAAATCCTGCATCAGTTATGACATGTCTTCTTTTTTAGACAAAATTAGTTCATCCTTTGTTCTCTGAGATGTGAAAAAGGGAACGAGAACATTTCCATTTACTGTGCAGTTTCTCACAGAGCAGAGCGCACCCTGCTTGTCTGCACCAAGTGTTTTCCTTGGTGGGTCTGTCTGGACTTCAGGATCTCAAGGGTCATCACAGATCCTTCCCAGGGAGTGGATGTCGGCCTCTTCTCTTCAGAGAGTGGCCTGTATTGGAGGTGCTGCTACAAGGATTTTGCAACTTTTCAGTCATTTCTGTATAGTGTCGGCTGATGAAATGTGGGGGCTTGGATGAAGGGGCCTGGGTCTGTGATTGCTTGTTAGGGAATGAGGCTAACTGGGAGAGGTGATGATCTAACCAGACCATGGTATGTCAGCACCAGGTATTGCCTGCTGTTGTACAGCTGCCTCTTCAGTGTCATTTCAGCCATCCGTAGGCAGCTTCAACTACTCTGACCTGGCTACCCAAATCATCAGCTCAGGAGCTTGGTCCCAACACTCCCTTCATGGGTCAGTGCTTCTGCTGAAGAGTCATCCAGCCTGGCACCCTCCCATGCTGCACACATGCTCGATCAACGTGGATGTCTGCCCTGTGCTGAGTAGCACATCACAACACAAACAAAGCAACATTCCCAGAAACAGTCTGGTTTTATTGTAGGGCTACGGAGGGGAAAGGGCTCTGCCCATGGCTTGGGGAAGAGAGTTGGGGTAAAGTGAGTAGACAGTCGTGTGCTTAGTGGGTGAGGATTTTAACAAGCATAAAGGAGTTCAACTTGTTGCATCTGTGGTAGCCCTCTTAGAGAAGTGTTTGAAGGACAAGAGTGAAGTTCTGGGATGAGGAATGTCTGGAGAAATGCAGAGTCTGTGAGAGGGATGGATGGGTGGGTTTCGGAAGGGAGTAGTCAGTACAAGAGCAGGGAGCAGGCTGGTGGGAGATGAGGATGCCTGGGTTTGGGGCAGCCAGGGCAAGAGAGGGTTGGTGAATGAGCACTGCTTGCAGGCCAGTGGCATGGGGAACTACTGCTCTTAGTGAATATCTGTCCCTTCTGTCAGCATTACTGGAAGCCTCCTTGTCTTTAGCTAATGAGGAGGTTTAAATCCACAAAGCCAGAAAGGGTGAGGTCTTAACACGATTTTTCCTCCCAAAACTGCCTGAAGCCCCTGCTCCACATAGCTGGTGTAGAGCAGAAACAGAAAACCATGAGGATTATGTCTAATTGTTTTAAACTCTTTCCACCTTCCCAAGTTTCAGAAGATTAACTCTCTTCCACCCCCGCCCCAAAAAATCAAGAAAAAAAGGTTGGTTTAAATAGAGTTTCTCTGGGTGATTTTGGATAGCTATTGCAAGAACTGTTTTCGATAAGGTCACTAAAGCTTTGAAGGCTTCTTAGACCTTAGCAGCTTTGGGAGAAGTAATGTTTGATCTAAACCTGGCAATCTCCATGAAAAAAAAATCCTTACTTAGAAAAGTCTCCTGGGTCCTGCAGTGGAGTAATGCTGCTGGAAGACATGCTTCCCAAAAAACTTCTGCTGGCTTGAAGATGTGCGGCAGATGCCTCGCTCTCCTCCCCAGTTACTCCCAGCACTGCTGTCTGCGACTGCGGGGCACTCGCTGGTGGGCGCCAGGGATCGGCTGCCGGCAAATCCCTCTCTGCACCAGCTGCTCGGGGGGTCTGCAGGAGCGACAGGTTTTGGAAGGGCGAGTGCCTGATTATGAATGGCTGCTCTGTCTTGCAACCCGCTTATGCTAAGGGTGAGCATCCGGCACCCTGCAGCGTGGCCATCCCCGCCACTGCGG